CAGCAGGCCCTGAGCACCCCATGGCCACTGCTGCTCCGGGGGTTAGCTATGGACCCTTCGGGGGGGGCTTGGGCCCCGGGGGGGGGGGGGGGGGAGGCCTGGGGTAACACAACCCTGGCCCCTCCCCTGCCATCCACCCCGAGGCATGTGTGCAGTCACCACTGACACGGAACCTGGCCAAGGACTCTGGAGCACAGTACAGCTTTGGGCAGCTGTAGCAGGCGGGCAACAGGCTGCAAACAGCTGTACAGGGCTCTGGAGCACTGGCACTGGCTCTAGCGGTGGTGACTGCATGCAAGTCTCCGGATGCATGGTAGGGGAGAGGATGGGGTTGCGCTGCTTCAGGCTGCTCCCCCACTGCCTGCCCAGCGGGGTGCATGCAGCTGCGATTTGCACAAAGCCCAGATGGGGCTCTGGAGCCCGGTGCAGCTGTTTGCAGCCTCCCAGCTGCAGCTAGCCCAGGTTATGGGTAGCTTCTGCCAACCATGGAGCCCTGGCTGCTTGCAGCAGGGCTTGCAGCCTCCCAGCTGCCTGCTGGCAGCAGCCTGGGGTCTGTGGCCGGGGCTGTGGCTGGCAGCAGCTGCCCAGAGCCCGGGCTGGCGATGGTGTGCCAAGCAAAATGGCCTCATGTGCCATGCTCTGGCACGTGTGCATTAAAGCATTCAGTCCTATTGACCTTATTTCTTGGTTGCTCTACACCAGGGGTCAGCAACCCCCAGGTTGCCGACCCCTGGTGTAGAGCAACCAAGAAATAAGGTCAATAGGACTGAATGCTTTAATAACAAGATAATGGGGTCCTGGTGATCTGTAATTGCCAGCATAACTTGATGTTGCATTGCAGCATCAAGAGATCACATTCATGAAAGCAGTTGATATTTAAGGAAAGGAAATACCATTATGATGATACTCTATTACAGTGACTTGGTCTAGCATAACAAATAGCATGATACAGATGCTATCATTTTATCTGATGGCTAGGACTGCATTACTGTAGCAGTTGTTTACTGTAGGCCAGAACCTTCAACCCGTACTCAGGCATAACTCCACTTAACTTCAGTAGGAGTTTTGACTGTGTGTGGACTTGAAACTACAAGATACAGTCCCGTGTCTAAGGGTTGGAGATATTCTGAATGATTTAAAAAACAGAGCTGGTGTGTGCTTCAGCCAACCATATACAAGCTTATAAAAAATGTGTATTTTTAGTGGGGGTGAGGAGAAGGAGGATTTCAAGGGGCTGACAGTTTGCTTTTTTAAGGTGTATGTTGTATTTACATTGTCAAGGAGCTGCATAACTTCATTTAAAAATGAGTTATCCATCCATCAGCCAAGTCAGTGGTCTAGATGAAGGTGACCATAAACAGACACATTTGAAGAGTATTTTGGAAACAACCTCTCCCTGCTAATTCCTCTGCTATGGCTTCCATAGATAGAGGATATTAGTCCCTAGTGACATTCCTTTTAAGAGAACTAAAATTTGCTATTTAAAAAGAAAAACAAAAATGAGTAAGTTGCCTGTACCGGCTGATGTTTGTTCCCTTTACTGGTGAAACACTATCAGTGTCTTTCTTTCTCCTCTTGTAGGAAATTGGAGACCTCTTACAGTCCCGAGGCCATGAATGGGGTGTAACCACAGGCAGAAAAAGACGCTGTGGCTGGTTAGACCTTGTTATTTTGAAGTATGCTCATATGATCAATGGATTCACTGCGTAAGCATCACAGATTTTGCACTACATTTGGAACTGATAATTTTGCTCTTTGCGGAATAAATATGTAGCTAACATTAAAATCAGTCCAGTTAAGTGTTACAAGCAATAATGTAATTTAATAGAATATTATCATAGACACATCAATCTCTGGCTGATAATATGTTTATTCTTGAAGCAGGTGATAAAATGATATTCTGATATAAGTTTTTAGGTTTTTTTAACTTTGTTTATATCAACTGAATGGGATGGAGTGAACAAAGATAGATTTTGCTACAGTTTTTCATTATAACATTCTTGACCTAATACATTCCATATGGCTTAGGTCACAGATAAGCAAAATATGTCCCGCAGGCTGGATCTGGCCCGCCAACAGATTTGATCCAGCCTGCGGGTGGACAACCGCCAAGTAATAGGATGTGGCCCATGGGCGCGCACCAGCTTCAGCCGCTGTATGGTGCTGGGCAGGCAGGCAGCAGTGCTTCTGTTCAGCAGCATCAGCTGTGGGCCTGGGCAGGGCAGCAGTGTCAGTTGTGGATGCTGCTAGTAGGTTCAGGAGATCAGACGCAGAACCTGCCCGTGGCGTCCACAGCTGACGTCGCTGTCCTCCCAGCACAGTGGAAGCTCCCACATGGTGGCAGCAGCAGCAGCAGCAGCTGTGTACCCAGGCAGAAGCTGCTGCCACACCAGGTGGGGGCAGTGTCAACTCTGGACACCGCTGGCAGGGTCTGCATCCGGGCTCCTGAACCTACCAGCGGCATCCACAGCCGATGCTGCCACTAGTCCTCTACGGCGAACTACAGCTCCAGTGGGTTCTGGAAGAAGAGGGTGGGGGAGAAAGGAAGAGAGAAGAGAAGAAACAGAGAGAGAGGGAGGAGAGACAGGGAAAGAAAAGAAAAGAGAAAGAGAGAAGAGGGAAAAGAGAGAGAGAGAAAGATGGATGTAGCCCTAGACAGGTTCCCAAAACTCATTAAGTGGCCCTCCAGCCAAAATAATTGCTCACCCCTGACTTAAGTCCTGATCTGAAGTGAATGAAAAGACTCCCATTCACTCCAGTTAGCACTGAACCAGTCTCTTACAGTAGAGACTTGGAGAAAATAAAGCACATGTACCCTCAATAAAGTAAACAGTATGGCTCAAAGTGCACAGTAGTCAGTACATGTTTTTTTCCAACATTGAGGGAAACCATTTTTCCATATGGCTATGTTAAAAAAGATACAGTTTTTTAAAAAATGGATTAAATTAAAGGGCTGAGATGTTGCTGGTATTTAAGATGGCCAAGCAACTTGAATGGATGACAAGTTCAATCACTGTGTTTTAAAATTTTAAATGTATTTTGAAATTCCATTTTTGAGGAAACATTGACTGCTTGGTGCAGGTATTTCAGATCACAACACTGTCAAGCTAAATTAAAGCTTATGCGCATCTGTACACATGCTCCGGTGTGGGGCGGGGGTATTTTAATTAGAACGGCTTTCAGGTATCACTCTACTTAAAAATGGCTGGCAGTGTCTCGTGTATTCAGCAGGGGACACTGAATACACAAGACACTGCAGCACAGGGGAGGGTTCTGATTCGAACTCTCGAGCACACACAGCTCCGACGCGCTCTACTCAAAACATGTCAAAGCACCTGTAAAAGTGCCTATATCAGCTTGTGGCTAGTGCTAAACATAACAGCTAATCTGAATTATTGCTATGAAGTTTAATTTTAAAATCAAATATCATTTTGTACATCTGGATTTTATGTAACAAAGGTCCACTAAAAATATGCCTATAATTTACAGATTTGCATATTGGTCAATGCAAAAGGGCTTCATACGCACAAATTCTTGAACCTGCAAATTTTACAGCTGCATAAATAGTGGTTGCTGAAAATTTGGCCAGGTTGGTTTACTTCAGCCTTGCAAAATTAACCTTTTCTGTGAGCCTGGTGGAGTAATTATTTTTAAAATATACATTTTATCAGTCAAGAAACCAATAAATGAAACAATCCTTGTTCACTAATTTTTTTTAAAGAGAGTATTTACCTAAGTCATGCTTTGCTTTCACATATAGAGTTCCCATTTTGTGGAAATATTATTAAAGAACGGTTTGGTTCCCTTCTTATTTCAATGACATGTAATTACTACTCTTTTGTTCAGACAGCTGTATCAGTACTGCAGACCTTTAACACACAGGTCACAAGGAAAAGTTGTATGCTGCAAGCAACGCAAAGAACAAGTAGCCCAATGCTTGTCCTTTCCCCCAAAATCTTTCCAGACAGTCCTCACATTTTCAGTTTTATCCTCCTTGACCCTGAGTAAATGTAACTGTGAAATGCACACATGCCTGGCCAGATGCTTAGATGTTTGACCTTTATACCCACTGAGGATCTGGCATGTTAGTTTTAGAAGTGTCTACCTCCTGCTTTAAAGTGCAGTCTGGCTTAAAAAGTATCTCTGTGAAATGGCTTCTTGGCTGCCTTGTTTGTCTTTTGATGACTTCTTTATGAAATGTTTCAAGCCAAGTAGTAAAAGACGGACCATTTAATTGAGAACCTTTTTAACTCATCCAAGGACCTGAACACTAGATTGGAAATTTTTCTTATGATGTATTGTCAGCAGTAATGAAGACTCTCTAGGACAAATGATGCTGTGAGGGGTAACTGATTGGCCCTGTAACTGGAATTTAGTCAATAATTCTGTTGGTACACAAGCCAAAATAAAACCTAGCTCTTTCTCTCTCAGTCATGTCAGTTCTACCTGGATAACAGGAATAATTAGTAGTATTAAGGTAAAGGGATAATGACTTTCCACGAATAGAGGCTAGGAGTAAGAAATAAAAGTGCTGTTTTACTATCGAGTTTTCTGGGCAGAATTGTGTTTTAAAGGATGCAGTTAGTAGCGTTTGTTATATGAGCAGCTAAGTGTTTGGAAGTAAAGCTTGGTAATTCAGTTTTCACAGAGGCATGAATTCAGTTAATAAAGTTCATATTTTAATATATCTGAATTTTCCTGATTACTGGGCTGGCTGAGCTTGGTCCATGAGTACAAAAGTAGAAAAAGCAGGTGGAAGGGATTAAAGATGATGATGATAGAAGGGTTTATTTTATGTGTAACTTTATCCCATGTTTCTCTGAACAGTCTGGCATTAACAAAACTGGATATTCTGGATGTCCTTGATGAGATTAAAATTGGTGTTGCTTACAAACTGGGTGGAAAAAGAATTCCATATTTTCCAGGTAATGTTGAAATATTGCTTGATGATCTGTTTTTCTCTCCTTTCTGTCAAGTGTTTTACGCTTAAAAAAATCAGAGCTGATATCTGTTTTTTGCCCGATACCTTACATAGGAATGTACAGACGTAGAAGGTAGGTATAAAATACTCCCAAATCAGAATAGTAGCATTTTACACTCACAAGATGCTACATTGCCATAGCGAGAAGCTATGGCGACACACCTCATTGTTACGGTGACGTAGTGTCAGCAGACACAAACAGTGATGCTACACTGCTGTATAGTAGCTCATTGCTACTGTGTAGTAGGGTCGGAAATGACCCATGCGCTGCCAGGACTGCACAGTAGCAGCGCTGCACAGTCATTTAGTGCAGTAACAATTGTGCAGTCGGGCACACATGTAGACACGTCCACTCTGTATGAATTGTTACACAAGGTGCAGGATGACAGCAATTCCAGCCTTTGGCCCTGTGTGCACAGCCCTATTGAATTTTTGTTTCATTACAATTTACCAATACATTTTAATGCCTGATGAACAAGAGTTGTGGCTAGAGGCATGTATCAGTGTCATGATGTTTTGCCAAAGAAAATGAAATTGAAAATGAGGGTTTATGTTATGAAAGATGAGATTGATACAATCAGGGCAAAGTTGTTTGTTGGATTCCACTAAAATAAGCAGCAATCAACATGTTAGTTAGTATATATTTGCTGCAATACTATTTCTGTTAAAACTTTTTGGCTTTTGTTTAAAACAATATTTCATATATTGAACCTCAGCTTAAGATTGAATGATGTACAACCCTATAAAGTTTGGTCACTTTTCATGCTCTGCTTCTCTTACCCAAATGATATTCTCCAAGTCCAGGGATTCTTGTTTTTTGTCACGTTAGCTCCTTCCCCTCAGAAGCCATACAGTGCTCCAAATTATTTGTGGTCAAGGCTTGAAAAAAAACAACCCAGAAGGGTATCATGTGCCCAGTTCCCATTGAATTTCAAGCAGGAGGGCTCCCTCTAGAGGTTCTCAGTTTAACTCCTGAATTGACTAAAATGACAACAGCAAGTAGATACCTTTCACCCATGAGCTATGTTCCCTGGTGCTATAATAGTCCTGTGCCCTGCTGATCATGGTAGAGAATAGCCAAGAATTGCTCTCAGTAAATACAAACATATATGTATTTAGAGTGCTGCACACAACGATCCACTAATTCCACTAGCCCTCTTATCTTCCAGACTAACTACACATAACCTGGACTACCTAATAATACAACACAGGGGCCGTGTCTACATGAGACGCTGGCTGCGCAATCATTACTGAGTCACTGTACAATAGTGCCAACCAATGTCTTTTTTGTGACACTGCTGTGCAGTAGCGTCGCATCACGGTTGTTGCCATGCGATGCTACTGTGCAGTAGTATCAGGCTGCTGCACAGTCAGCATCTTGTGTAGACACAGCCAGGGACTCCTTAATTTCTAACTCGAACTGAGCAGTCATAGAAGGCACTAATGACTAAATTACAGCATCTGTTTCACTAAACTACTCTGCCTCGTGCTTCCCCAATAGCCAGCTTCAATAGGAAGAATGGAAGCTAATCTAGCTACTGTCTAATCTGTAGCCTGAGCTCTTTGCTGGAAAACAGAAGACACAGGTTCAAACTCCCTCTGAACAAGGGAAGCTTAAAACTTAGGTCCTTTTGCTCCCTGGGTAAGTGCCCTACCCAGTAGACTACTTGGTTAAGTAGTAGAAGGGCTGCCTGTGGCAGCAAACATCTGCATGCTTTTTTGCAACTAAAATGTTGGGATTTGCTCAGAGTTTTATGTGCATGCCTGAGTGTTTCTGTTCCCCCAAGTAACTATACACCCAGAGTGCAGCGTATGGAGTATGCCTAGAAGGGAAGTACATGAAGGATCTTGATCTAGGGATTCCATTTTTGCCACTGCTTGTGGAGCTGACCTGACAAAATAAAACTACTGTAGACAATTGTTTCCTTATCCTCCTAAAAATATCACTTCAGCTCTGAAGTAAATTAAAAGGAATGTGTCACCAGACCCTTGGGAGTCAGAATGGTCTTTCTCAGGAAGATTTAATTTATCTTTAAGTATACAGTAATGAGGGAACAAATGTTTGACATTATAATATTCCTTTTTCATGCATTGGATTTAAATGTTACCAGATTTTTTTTAAGATCAAACTCTACATCCAAGATCTGTTTATGTGGAACTATTGTCTTACTCAGTATTAACTGTGTTTCCACAGCTAACCAGGAGATACTACAGAAAGTGGAAGTGGAGTATGAAACAATGCCTGGGTGGAAGACTGACACAACGGGTGCGAGAAAATGGGAAGACCTCCCACCCAAGGCACAGAATTACATACGATGTGTGGAAAATCATGTCGGGGTGCCAGGTAAATGTTCCTTTGGCTGTGCCCATGGGGATGCCACAGCATGTAAATACAGCTGTGTATAAATGTTCAACCCACCTAGCTAGGTTGGCCCTTCCTGGGATTGGAGCTGTGGGGACGTGCGGTGAGGAAGCAGCAGACCAGATCACAACTATGAACACCAGGGCCTGCATGTTATGCGCTCTTTCTGCTTCCCTCCTCTCCCCTCCCTGCTGCCTTCGACTCGCCTTGCTTGTTTGTAGTGAGGGGAGGGCTGCAGGGGAGGGCTGTTTGTAGTGAGGGGAGGGCTTCTTTCTCTTTCCTTTCCCCGTCTCCCATTTCTTTGACCTGCAGGCTGGGAAGAGTATTGCATTTAGATGCCTGCACTGGAGCACTACCACTATGGCTGATGAGGGTGGTATCAGAGCCATAAGACTGAGTACTGCCTACAGGAACTAGAAGTTTTCTAGATCTCCTTTGATGCCAGAAGCTAAGCTTATTGCCAGGGCAGGGATCTGGAAAGTATTTCTCCCATACAGCTGAACTGGCAAACAGACATTTAGGTTTTCAGCTTCCATTTGGCATCCAAAGACATCTAGTTTGGCAGGCTTACATTATAGTTGGCAGTGGCATGTCATTGTGGGGTTAGAAAGTGTCTTGAGTGAGGTTCCTGTAGCTCTGCAGGCTGCCTGGGTGTTGGTTGTGGGCACAGCATAGTATACACAGAAATATGTCACCGTATCTCATGCAAATAGGGTTCTACCTCTTTTTTTTCTCCTGCATCCAGCCTGGAGAAGGGGAGCAGGCTGGAGCGAAGTCAGGATCCCTGGGCAGGCTTAAGGAAATTGAGGGTACCTGACCTTTACACCCACCCTCATGCTTGTAGTGTCTAAGAACAGCACCAAAAGAAGCCAGCTAGGTACTAGGGTAGCTGTTTCAGTTCATAGATTCATAGATGCTAGGGTGGGAAGGGACCTCAACAGATCATCGAGTCCGACCCCCTGCCTAGGCAGGAAAGAGCGCTGGGGTCGAATGACCCCAGCCAGATGCCTATCCAGCCTTCTCTTAAAGACCCCCAAGATAGGGGAGAGCACCACCTCCCTTGGAAGCCCATTCCAAATTTTGGCCACCATCATTGTGAAGAAATTTTTCCGGATATCTAGCCTAAATCTGCTCTCTGTCAGTTTGTGACCATTGTTCCTTGTTACCCCAAGAGGCGCCCTGGTGAACAGAGCATCTCCAATACCTTGCTGCATCCCCTTAATGAATTTGTAGGTGGCCAGAAGATCACCTCTCAGCCTTCTCTTGCGGAGGCTGAAGAGGTGCAGGTCCCTCAGTCTCTCCCCATAGGGCTTGTCCTGTAAGCCCCTAACCATACAAGTAGCCTCGTCTGGACCCTCTCAAGTCTATCAACATCCTTCTTGAAGTACGGTGCACAAAACTGGATGCAGTACTTCAACTGCGGTCTGACCAGTGCCGTATAGAGGGGAAGTATTTCTTCCTTGGATCTGTTTGTCCTGCATCTGCTGATGCATGATAAAGTGCGGTTAGCTTTGCTGATGATTTCATCACACTGATGACTCGTGTTCATCTTGGAGTCCACTAGGACTCCGAGATCCCTTTCCGCTTCTGTGCTGCTGAGAGGGTCACTTCCCAGCCAGTAGATGTGCTGGATATTTTTGCGCCCTAGGTGCAGCACTCTGCAATTGTCCTCGTTGTACTGCATGCACTTGTCCTTGTTGGGTGTTAGCTTTAAATGAAGTTGCAGCCTCAGCATTAAACCACTGTGGGCACATCTACATGTGCCCCCCACGGTGCAGTTGTTACTGCATAGTCATTTAGTACTTGCATTAGGAAGTACTAAATGCTGGTGCAGTAACAGCTGTTACTGCCCCATCCTAGCGGTGCAGTTATTTTTAGCAGCTACGTCGCTGTAGCAACACGCTATAGCAAGGTAGCTCATTGCCGTGGCAGTGTAGCATCAGCATCACAGTTTGTGCCTGCTGACGCTAAGGCGAAGTAGTCACATGTAGACACGCCCAGTATGATGCGCATGCGTCACTGTTCCCTTGTCCACATCAAGTATCTTTACAGTCTGACCAAACTTGCTAGCTGGGGTATAACTAGTCACCCCATCACTCACAATAATGACAGTTAAACATGCAGTAGATGTAGCTCACCCCTCTATTAGTGCTTTGCGTTCATGGTATGTGTTTTCAATGTCAGTCTGGTCTGTATTATAGCCCAGCAATACAGTAAGAGAAGAAAATATAAATAAAAACAGACATTTGTTCTCAGTACTTTTAGTGTTGAAGTCTGATCATTTTATCCTGACATGTGACAGAAAAATGATTAAAATTCATTCAAAATGCTGTTTACACCCAGGAATTTTTCTAATGGTTGTTTTTTCCTCCCTATAGTTAAATGGGTTGGAGTTGGAAAATCAAGAGAGTCAATGATCCAGCTATTTTAAACAAACAAAGAACTTCAGTGATGAAAAACACAATTTACTGTTCATCTGTTCCTTACTGCTCCCAAGTTACAGTGGAGATGCTGTTTGAAACCAAAATGTTCTTCTAGGAGATGAGTAGAAACAAAATGCATATTCTGTACTTTCTTATTTTCATTTACCTTTCAGCTTCCAGTAAATGCGACTATTCAGTGATAAAAATCTGTTTGGTAGCCACTATCACAAGAATTGCAAAAGCATAAAAATTCAGTAACTTGAAATCAAGAACAGGAGTGAAAATATATATTTTTTTCTTTTTAGTTGTGCCATATTACTATTCAAAGTGTTTCACATCCATAGGCAGTTATTTCTTCAGACTGTTGCCAATATCAACCATTTTCCAATACTTATTAAGCAAATGCAGAATTGTAAAAGCTGAATGTATTCTTCATTGCAGGTTCTTAAAATGTTGTGTCTATAGGTTGGCAGTGATAAGACATAAATTACGTTGAACTTTGGCCTTTTATGTAGACCCTCAGTCCCAAAAATAATAGTTTGGTAGGCATTTTTAATTCCACAAAGCGAGACAATCACAATTAGCTGGAGGCCTGTGATTTTATTTTTACAGCCTACTAATGTGAGAAAAGGAAAAGTGATCGTATTGGAGAGCAGTGCAAGCCAGTAACTGAGGTAACTTCTGGAGATGGGCCAAACTTGAGACAGGTGACCTGTCTAGGCGTTCCCTCTCATAGCCTCTTTACCAACAGGCACTCCATGTAGGGGCTATCGGAAGTGCTATCCTTTCCTCCTGTGCAAATGGAAGACATAAGAGGAGTGGGTGATGGCTATAAAGGCCCTAAGGCCACAAAAAGTATCAGGGCCATTGGAGCCAATGTAATATGGTGCACCCTCCCTACGAACTCAATGTTTGTTCATTAAAATCCCTTGTGGGTCTTGCCAGTTAGAGGTGAGTGATGAAGAAGCAGGGAGCAGCAGCACTGTATGCCATGCTCATCTTCAAACCTCTTGGATTTTCAAGCACAAATCTGTGCATGACTAAACGTTGCTAGGTGGAGCATGAACTCCCCTTCACAGCTTTTGACCCCACTCAGCAAAGTTTAGAGGATGATATTTGTCCTCGAGGAGGGAACATATGGCAGCTCAACTCAATGAAGCTTCTCGGGAAGAGGAGCAGCATGGAGATCCCCAAGACTTCCAAGGATGGACCTGGATTTCCTCATGAATCCTTAGATTCCTAATTGCTAAAAGGCTGCACTCCGTACCCCATCTGCATGGCTCGGATCCCTCTTATAGAGGGAGGAATGCAGCAGAAACCGAGATATTCCGTAATTTGTGGAATTTCTCAAATCACATTTCCCCTTCTGTGAGGTTTGTTCCACAGAGGGAGAGACTATTTATGTCATTTCCGAATGCTGTGGGGTATATCCAGGAATGGCATCACGGCCCTAGCCAGCTCACAAAGCCTTAATGCCAGGATGTATTTTGTGAAGATACCCCTTTTTCTGAGGTAGCCCTGCCAAGCAGGATGGCATACAAATGCTCAGAAATGAGTACCTCGGTACATCTCTAGATTATCACAAATGTGTTAACCCAGTTTGTCTCATCTCTGACATGTATCAGTCTTTAACATTTAAGGTCTGCCTTAACATTTAAGGACAGCCATGGCTGGTATACCAATGAAGTAGTAAAGTACTTCATGTGGTGGGACATATATGCCCTGTTAGTTGTAGTAAAGGCCCTTTGCACCCTCTTCTGGCTGCAGCACAGTAAAGTCCAACTCCATTCAGCTCAGGCTGGAGCTTTAGGCCACAATTTCATCCTTTACGTCTAGTCCTATGATCACAAAGTCCCAAGTCCTAGCATCAGCTCCAATTCCTTCAGTGGCCTTGGGCATGTCATTTAGGCATTGAGCCTCAGTTCTGCCACCAGTAAAATGGTGAATAATATTACTTCCTTACCTACCTCAAATAGGTGCTGTGAGGATTGATGAATATGGGCCAAATCCTGCCATCCTTTGTCTGTCTTTAATCAGGCAAAACTTCCATTGCGTAGTCAATGAGAATCCTGCCAGCATAAGGGCAGTAGGATTTGGACTCACTTGATGTTTGTAAAGTCCTTTTGGAAGGTACTTGATAAGTACTAAATATTAGTAGTACTGTAAAATAGAGCTTATTTTTTGAGGCACCCTAAGCATAAACACTCTTGGGGGTAGATTCATCAAGTTTCTTTCCCAGTCAGCTCAGCCTCATGTTGTCCATCCACTAGACCAGATGTTGGTCACCTTTTCTAGCTGTGGACCGGAATGACCCACCCCAGGTCAGAGGCAGGTGGCCAGGTGCCACAACCCTGCTACTGCCACCACTCGTCTCCCTGGCAGCACAGGGAGATCATCCTCAGAAGACACCCCCCACCACAAACATCACCGAAACCCTAAGTCAAGCCAACGGTTTCATAGGCCAGATCCGGCCCACAGACTGTAGACTAGATGATTTGGATTCCTTTTCCAGCCCACTATGCTTCGGGACATTTTATTAGGGCAAAGCTGTTTTGTTTGGACCTTGGTTGGTTTTATTTATTAGGTCACTGGTGCTCAACTCTGGGCCATAGGCCACATGTAGCCTATGAAGCTGGTGTAAACAGCCTATCACTGTCATGCCAATGCAGGTGAGCACACCTGTTGCTTGTCTTCTCCTTTCCCCAGAGTCTGAGCAGCAGTGGTGTTCACCTGTGCTGATATGCCAACAAGTTCAGAGCTTTCATGCAGCTCCAAGAGCCTGGGAGTTAAGCGCAGCCGCTGTTGCTTGGCCCTTTTTTGCCCTGCTGCTGAATTCAGCGGTGGGGCGTTTAGAGGAGGAGATCAGCAGCAACGCTCAGCTCCTGGGCTCCAGAGCCCCATAAAATCTTTGGCAGCTGGAAGGGGAAAGGCAGTGTTGGTCTGCTTTTAGCAACTGCATGCATGCATGCCCATGGGGCTGTGGTATAGCACAGGGCTGCTATAGCACCTGAAAAAAATAAGTTATTTCAAAGAAAGCCCTGCTGCTGTGGAGCAGAGCATGGTTCCACTCCCCCCCATGTTCCCAAAGCCTATGGCTCTGCCTTCAGGGGACACTGGTAGAGCACAGGGAAGTGTGGGGAGCTGAAGTAAGATACAGTGCTGCCAGCTGGGCAACCTCCATCTGTCATTTGAAAGAATTCTTTAATTAACTTGTGTAATATTATGGCTGGTCATCTTATTTTTTGTACCAATTCTAAATTTTAATTATTTGTATAAAATTGAAAACAATACTACAGAATATTAAACCTCTTACTTTGTATTAAGATGCCTAAAATTACTAAAAATGTATGTTTTCCTTTCTAATATTACTTAAAATTCTTACTATTAGGATATGCCAAAGCATAGCTCTATAATGCTTTTCTTTTCAGCCCTCGATTTCTGATTGTCAGGTTTGACACACTTGTAACAAAGGTTGAGCACCACTGCATTAGGGCAAAAGTGAGCAATGATTACACTTAGCATACTATAACCTTCAGAATAAATAATTAACCCTAAATAAATTATTTGACATATTTAAATAAAACTATTGTAAATTAATGGTCACAAGAGCATCTTCTGCTTTACCTAGATTATATTTTCTATGGAGTTGCTTACCTTTGCATTTAAGACCTTAGCCAATTAAGGCCCATAGTTTGCAGTACACCAAGAGACAGTTATCCTATGACAGTGGGTTTTTTTAGTAACATGACCTCTGGCATTTCATTTCATTGCATAGCTTTTTAATCAAAATATTTCTCCCACTGAATTTGGGGAATAGTGCCACCAAATTCAATGTGAATGGATTCAGGATTTGTTTATAAGCTTTTTATAATTGACGGTAATGTTGGCCTTGATAAGAAACATGTTTGATATAAACTAGTTGGCTGTTTCCTGTACAGACTATCTGGCATTCGATCTGTTGTTTGGAATTTCTTTGTAACAATAATCAGTGTGGCTAATTTTACTTCTCCTTGTTCCCAAGTTAAATGCAATAATAATGATTTAATTTTGTTGATGTATTATATTGTTAAGTATACTGATAGAAAAATAAGAGAAAATATCTACTAGTCTGGTATACTTTCTTTTAATGGACTAAATATAAAAAAGCAACTGTTATTGAACTTTTCATGTAAAGCAGTGTATTTAACAGGTTCATGTCATACCTGACATCACAATGTGGCCATTATAATGAGGTGTATAGTTCTTAACAGATGTACTTAAGGTGTGCAGGTACACTTTGGATATTTTTGTATTTTAATTCATATGCTGTCCCAGCTATGGTCTGGTGCACTTTATGAACTGAAAAATAAAGTGAAGGGGTTTCAAAATAAATGTGCCAAATGTACAAACAGCCCCTCATTACGCACTCATAGATGCAGATTTTACAGCTACAATCTTGAATTCTCACATCATTTTTTCACCCTCAAAGGCATGTCAAAACAAACTTAAAATAACAAATATTTCCTTTTTATGAATATATTCCATTATATGTAAAAGAAAACACGGGCAATTCTTTCCTAGTGTTTTAATATAAATATATCAAGAAGTTTTGTCTGAGAAGCAGATAGTTTATTTTTAGCTATAAGTAGCTGATATTTACATTTCAGTCTTATATTCTCTGGATTAGATAGGGGTATTCAACTACTTATAAACCAGGCTTAGAGATGCTACTGTCTCTGCTAATTTGGAGCCATGGGTACCATTTCTACATGATTGGGAGGAAACCTTGGATCAATAATGAAGTAGAATTTTTCCCTTTGAAAGTCTCCTGACTAATTCCAATGAGTTATTTCTATACATTGCTTGAAGAAACTTGAATTAACTTCCCACAACTTTTTATTAAGAGCACAAGACTGGGAAAAGTAAGGAATAAGTGGTCTGAGCTAGCACAACTAAAGCCAGCCCCTAAGACATGGAGGAGATTCAGACAAGTGGGGTTAGGATTTTTCAGAAGATTCAGTTTTCTCATAATCTTCAGTAACCAGTCTGGAACAGCAGGATTTTTATTGCAGTGTCTTTATCCAGTGAGCAACAGAGCAGGTTAATACATTTACTGCAGGTGATGTCTGAGAAGGGATTTGGTGGCATTCAATAAACATTGCTGAGTTGACATGCTTTCTGCCAGTCACAAAGATATGCTTGATGGATTGAGCTTTGTCTGGTAGCTGAAGCTTCCAAAGCAGTTTCATTGCACTCCATAAGGCGCTGGTGTTGGGAATTGCCCAGGACAAAAGAGGGTCTATGTTGTCTTTGCGGAAGCTACAGGTACATATTGATGCATGTTCTTTTCTTGGTTCAGACTGGAGAGAAGGGAAAGGAGGAGAAGCAGGCTGATAGCTATTTTTCCTTTGTAGAGCTGTGTTGAATAAACAGCATTCCTGTTCCTACCCACTTTCTAATACTAATGAATATTCATGGAGCCAAATCTCCCAGCCCCTACTTATTCCTTACTAAAGGTCTGATTCACAAACATGAGCGGGCCCGCTTGCATGGATCACAGTTCTCCCTTAAGGAAATGGAGTCCCGACCCATTTCCTCAGCAGCATCTTTCTCTTAAACCCTCCCTATTAGGTCTAGGGATTTCTGCAACGGGTGGCTGACACATCATTCCTTCCACTAGGGATCCTGTAGGGATCAGAGCAGAAAGAAAATACAGATCTTCACTGTATTCCCCTTCATGCTTTAGGGCACCCCATTAAACAAGCACCCTCAGGAATTATCAGCTGCAGAAATGCTGGTTGCATAGGTCTACTACAGCCACGTTGCAAAGGAGCAAGGAGTACCAGAGACTTTGAGCCTCTGCATAGAAATCCCTGGTGACACTTGCACCTTGGTGGATTTACAGCATCTGTAGATTGGCTCTACAGTCTGGTGTATTAAGTAAGGGTTCCCTTACAACCAACAGAGTTTCAGGGAGAACCCCAGACAAAGAAAACCTTGTGAGTAATAGTGCTAGAACCAATCCCTCAATGAATAAAGACTGAGAAGGGACATCAGGTTTTGGCCTGAAAAGGTAATTTATGTTCTGCCATATTATCAGGAAATTGGTAGTTCCAAAATACCTGATTGTGTTGCTAAATATTTTTCTGCCTGTGTTCTTTTTTTTTTTTTAATTCATTGAGACAGTCTGTATTAAATGTTTGCCATCTATAAGCAATAAATGACAAGAAACACAAGACTCTCTCGGGGCATATACAGTGCATAGCATACTTTTATGTAGCAAAATTTAGCCAGTAGATGCAGTTTTCAAAGGATGAAAATAAAAAAGATTTTTACACTGATCTATCAAATGTCTCTGTCAATCTTTGTTTCCTTGTCCCCTAAAAGAAGAATGATCCTCTAACCAAGTGTATTTGCGGTTTAGAGAAGACATAACCTTGTTTCGTACAAACTTGCCTGCAGAAGTTCAGCGCACTCACCATGGTTTAAATTTCATGCTTCAATACAATTTATCCTCCAGCAACATTAGTTTCCCAGAGATACCTTTATATCACTTGACACATGGAAGTGTAGTTCAAAAAAGTACCTCTCAAGTACCTCTACTGAAATCTTTTAAGTGTTCTGAGGAGCAGTAGTTTACTTTAAGTCAAAAGATACAAATTTATTGATGAGACCTACAGAAGTTTGACACACCACAGGTAATTTAACTGTGTGGAAATGTTCAGCAGAAAGAAGAATGAGTCTGCACTCATGACCATTTTCAAAGCAGAAATGCACCTACTTTTTTGCTCTGAACTGCAAAACAGGCCCAAACCCATTGACCATTAAGAAATTTTCTCAATCATATCATTTAGTTAGGCAAAATTACCACTTATAGCTAATAACTGGTTGAATTCTTCATCAGAAGAACTCAGTATGAACATTGCCATGGATGTCAGTGGACAATTAATATGAGCTTTGCCTGAGTAAGAAATAAACATTGGGTCCTACGTGACCAGTACATCTCTTGCCAAAGTAAGAAAGCTATGATATTTAAAAGATGTTTTTTCTCCATGAAAATTAAACTCTATTGGAGTTTGCATGTAGAAAATAAGAGATAATGATCTGTCTTCCTTTCCTCAAAGTCCAGGAGTGAATTCCTAGTAACCCATTGCTCAAGTTGGGTGATATACTTCCATTAAGCTTCACAAAGTAAGTATGAGACACCCTTTACCATTAATAGGAATTGTGTATCAGTACTTTTAAAGTTGGTGCTTTTAATATTTAACGCTTTTTAACCATAGTTAACTTTATGAATGCTTACTTTTCAAGTTGATTTCCTGAAACAAATGTTTAAATATTAGGGAAAAATAAACCAGTCAGAGGTGGCGTGGCTACGTGCTGGTAGCATGGCATTAAAATGGGTCAAAAAAACTTGTGATAAGATCTGCACAGGTACCTTACCAAAAGCCTGAACGTAACTTAATCTACAGAAAATGTACCTCATTAAAACAGAAATAATTGTACAAAACCAGGGTATATCATTTTACTTCCCTTGTCTGTAACAGGTCTAGACTTGCTTGTTAGTTAAGCTCAACAGTAATAAATAACTACTTGCCATTAGATGCATCTACACATGCAATTAACACAGAGCACCCAGGAGGCTGGCAGGCGGCCAGCCTTCCAACCCAGGGCTGCTCTGACCCAGCTCAACATGCTGCAGAGGGACTGGCTTGCGCACAAGGGTGCTCCAGTGTGGGACTAGCCAGCAAGCAGCCCCTGCACTGAAACACCTTTGGGCCTCAGCCAGCCCAATCAGCATCTATACAAGTGTTGCTGCACAGTAAATAACACTGTCACAGGATAGTACTTGTATTGACAAGTATTAACCTATGGCGGCATTTATTAGTTTACTGTGACCTAATAGGGCTGCACATGTAGATGCTGAGACTTTACTGTGGAGCTAATTAGGCAGTTCTGCTGTAAACGTCTTGTGTAGAGGTGCCCATTGAGGAGTTATATCCTCGCCAGTAGATAATGAGAAGTGGGTGACCAGAGCATCAGCCCTGGGTGCCCACTTGGGCCATATGAACCATAGGCAGAGCTGCCAGTGAGGCCAGACCAGTCTCTACTATTGCCCCATCCCCTGCTACCCAAGGTGAAGCCCTGGCTGTTATGCCTCTGCTCCTCACTCTGCAACTAAGAGAGAAGACATCTGGGGTTCCATGCTATCTTGTTCTATAGGCTGCATTTGACCCTGGAGCTATATAATACCCACTCATACATTCAAATAAATATTGTTGTCTTAACTTATTACTTCATTTTACTGGTGCAAACTGTCTTTTTGAACAAACGCAGAAGCATGCACACATCACAGATGCATAGATTGTAAGGGGCTGGAAGGGACCTTGCAGATCATTGGGTCTAGCCCCCAACTCCAGGCGGGAAGACAACTGTGGTTAGGTGACCTCACCAAAGTGACTGTCTAGTTTCCTCTTGAAAACCTCCAGGGTAGGTGACTGCACTCTGGAGACAGTTTATTCCACAGTCTGGACACCCTGACTGTGAAGAAGGTTTTCCTGGTATTAAGCCTGAAGCGGCCTTCCAGGAGTTTGTATCCATTGGTCCTGGTCTTTCCCAGGTTTGCCCTAGTGAACCAAGCTCCTTATGCACTCATCTGATATAGCAGTAAGCCACTATCAAGTCCCCTCTCAACCTCTTTTTTAGGCTAAAGAGGCCCAGGTCCCCCAGCCTTTCCTCATATGGCTTGCCTTGCAAGCCCCTGACATACAGGTGGCTCTTCTCTGGACCCTCTCAAGTTTTTCCACATCCTTATTGAAGTGTGGCACCCAGAACTGGACACAGTACTCCAACTGCAGTCTCACCAGTGCTGAGTACAGCGGGAGTACCACTTCCTTAGTATTACGCGAGATGCATCAGTTGATGCACGCCAGCATGTTGTTTGCCCTGCTGGCCACCGCCTCGCGCTAACGGCTCATATTCATACATGGTCAATCATTACCCTAGGTCCCTTTTGGCTGTGGTGTAGGTCAAGCTGTCACCACCAAGCCTGTATGTATGTTGAAGGTTGTTTGCCCCCAGATGGAGCACTTTACCCTTGGAAGTGTTAAACTTCATCTGGTTCCGGTCTGCCCAATTCTCGAGCCTGTCCAGGTCTGCCTGTATCTGCAACCTATCTTCTGACGTGACCACGCTGCCCCGAAACTTGGTGTCATCTGCGAACTTAGCCAGCAAGTTTTTCACTCCCCCATCCAAATCATTGATAAAGATGCTGAAAAGCACCAGTCCAAGCACGGACCCCTGAGGGACACCACTGGCCACTTCGCGCCAGGACGACACAGATATATCCATGAGTACTCTCTGGGTCCTACCCTGTATCCAGTTTCCCACCCACTGAATCATTGAGCAGCTGAGCCCACAATCTTCCAGTTTCCACATAAGGATATCGTGAGATACTAGATCAAAAGCCTTTTGGAAACCTAGGTATATAATGTCTACCACGTCTCCTGTGTCGAGGTGGCAAGAGACCTGGTCATAGAAGGAGATGAGATTGGTAAGACAAGACCTACCCTCGACAAAGCCATGCTGGCTGTCATTCAGAATCTTCCCTTCCACGAGCGTATCGCACACTGATTCTTTAATGAGCTTTTCCAGGATTTTCCCTGGGATGGAGGTTAGGCCGACTGGCCTATAGTTGCCCGTGTCCTCCCTCTTCCCCTTCTTGAAGATGGGCACAGTGTTGGCCCTCTTCCAGTTGTCAGGGATTTCTGAATTCGTGCACCGAGTTTTGCGAGGGGTTCTGCAATGACCTTATCCAGGTCCTTCAGCACTCTCGGATGGAGTCCATCTGGTGCTGCTGACTTACAAATCTCTAGCTTTTCTAGTTGGTATTGCACCTGGTCAGCATTCCCAGTGGGACATGCTGGGACTGACAGCCTTCCCCTATGAGCCTTATCTCACTTGAATTTCCCCATGGTCAGGTGAAATACTGAAGCAAAGTGGGCATTCAGGAGTTCAGTTTTTTTTCCTGAATGTCAGTTACCAGCTGTCCCGAGGTGTTAAGCAGGGTCCCACACTTCCATTTGTTTTCCTTCTACTGCCTATGTACCTAAAGAAGGACTTCTTATTGTCCTTGACTCCCATGGCTAAGCTAAGCTCCATCGCCGCCTTGGCTTTCCTGATCATTTCCCTAAAAGTGCTGGCCACTGTTGTATAGTCCTCTTTGAGGACTGTCCCTAGCTTCCACTGTGTGCACACCTCTTTTTTCTTTTTTAAGAGGACCTCAATGTCCCTATTAAGCCAGGAGAGCTTGCCAGCCCTTCTGCCTTTCCTCTTTGCAGGAACAGTTTTCTTCTGTGCTTTGATGATCATATCCTTGAGCAATGACCACTCTTCATGCACCCCATTTGCTTTGCCTTCCTAGTCCCTCATCGCCCCCCCTACTAATGCTCTGAGCCTGTCGAAGTTAGTATTTTTGAAGTCCAGGACTTCAATCCTGCTGGTTGATTTATTGACTTTGCAACGGATGGTGAACCTGATTATTTCATGGTTGCTGTCACCCAGGTTACCCTCAATGTTCAAGCCACACACCAGATCATCTCCCTTGGCCAAGACCAAGTCTAGAAGGGCCTCTGGTAGGCCCTTGCACTTCCTGGGTCAGGAAGAGCTCCTTGATCACAGCCAAGAAACTACATGAACGATCTGACCTAGCCAAGTGTTCTTCCCAATCTATGTCCGGGTAATTGAAGTCACCCATGATAACCAAGTCCCTTGCGCGCGCAGTCTTTGTCAGTTCTCGAGAGAACTCCAGATCCAGCTCCTCCCCTCGGTTTGGTGGTCTGTAGTAAATGCCTACAGTTAGATTTCTCTCACCTCGCCCCCCACCCCACCCTGTAGCTTGACCTGGAGGGTTTCAAGCTGCTTATCTTTGGAGCCAATGTCATCCTCCAGAGGGGTGTACTGCTCTCTCATGTAGAGAGCTATCCCTCCGCCTTTTCTCCCTATGCTGTCCCTTCTGTGCAGGGTGTAGCCTTCTATGGCTACACTCCAATCATGTGAGGCGTCCCACATGGTCTCTGTGATCCCTACCAGGTCATACTGCCCACTAGAGAGCAAGAGGGCTAGCTCTTCCTGCTTGTTCCCCGTGCTCCTGGCATTGGTGTACAGGCAGCTGAGACCCCCAACTGACACCCTCGATTTCCTGAGACGCTGTAGGAGAACTGATTGGTTAGCATTTTCAGAAACAGTTGTGCTAGTGTCTTCTGCAAGGGAGCTTTCCAGTGGTCCATTTCCCAGGCATGCTCCACTTGGAGTTTCCCCATCCCCCAGCAAAGTCAGTTTAAA